CTATCTATCTATCTATCTATCTATCTATCTATCTATCTATCTATCTATCTATCTATCTATCTATCTATCTATCTATCTATCTATCTATAAATTAAAGCTGAAATCAAACTTAATATACAATAGATGTGAAGCAGATTTTGTGAAGTCTGCTTAGACACAACATACACAGTCCTACATGATAACTCAAGTAAACCTCTCACATAAGGCAGGAGCATATTTAACTTTTTGGAGTTGTGATATATTAGTGTAGCATTTTGACCTGTTACTTAATAACTTTGATTCATTATAGTTTCCCCGCAGGCCTTTTTTCCTCCAGCATCTTTTTTCCTGCTCATTTTATTCGTGCACCTAATGTTAAATCACCTTCTATTGCCACATTCATTTGTTAAAGTCTAATCATTTTTATTTATATGGGTAAATAAATGTCACCACCGAAATTATTACAATTCTGATAGTGCTTGTGCTTATACAGACTGACTCAGGTATAGAAACACACATACATTGTTCCTGCCGTTCATCATGTGGAGTTGTATTTTGAAACTTGACACCGGAAGTTGGAGTCCTTGTTCTACATCGCTTTCTGTGAAATACAGGAGCGCGGAGCGCCATTAAGAGCGCAGCGTTGAGTACAGCGCACAGCGGACCGCACTGCAAAGAGAGCGACATTTACTTTAAAAAGTGATTTACAGACATCAAGAGTGAAACAAACAAAAAGACCCAGTGCTGCTTAACTGGACTAGAGCTAATTTGAGAACTCACAGGTTGTTTTTTCGTTCTTACTTTATAAATCTGCCTCTGGACACTGTAATACATAGTCTGTCTGCTGTGGACCTACCTGCTGTGATGGGCCGGATGAACAGCGGGCAGTGTGGGGGTGCCAAGAGCGCAAGAGGAGGTCTGGAAGCATAGGTAAAAAAAAATAGAAAAGAAAACAAACTGGTTGGAGTTCGCACTGTTTATCTGATTTTCTGGTTTCTGTCATCACAGAAAGTGATGACTGAAAATTCTGGTTGTCACACGCGAGTTTCTCTGTTGAGGGACATTGTTTAAGTGTTATTCATTTATTTTTTTGGAGCCGGCATCATTTTTCTCCGGCATCATTGACTGAAATGTGAAGCTCAGCTTTTAGAAGTGTTCTACAAGCTGAGGCTTTAGGTGATTGTTTCCTTTTTGCTTTTAAAGTGTTAGGACTGTTCTTATTGAATGCATTTACACAGTTGCAATCCTTCTTGTCATTCACAAAGTCCTTCTTGTCTTCCACGCCTCTGTGCTCTTGTATGACTGATTCTCAAGGATATGTGAGTGCGCCGGGCACATGAAGGGACTGGCAAACCTTGTTAAATGTGCCTCTTCTTCCGTCAGTTATCATCGGAAGCACAGATAGCCTTTAATATAAATTCGGACCAGTTAATTTGGGCTGTTCTAAAGGGATGGGACATCAGATAACTAAATAATATGAAATGCCAGTGTTAGTTTATCTCGTGTGGTTTGTTAATGTGGAACGAAAGGTCCGTGATCACTTAAATCGGATTGTGGAAAAGTTGAGTTGTGATAAATATCTCTAGCAAAGCCATGAAGTAGACAAGCTCTTCCAGCAAAGCAAGTTTTAGTGTTTTGCATTAACACAAAACTGCAAAGATGTATGTTGTATATGAGACGTATTTATATTTCCTTTTGCTTTACGGCAATGTTATTGCTGTATGTGCCTAAAAAGTTCCAGTTTCCTAACATTTTTCATCTGCAGCTAAGGACCATGTAACATCAACAAGTAAGGTGTCTTCTCTTTAACCGTAAATTTATTGTTCTTATGTAATCACTTGATTAAAAAAGAAAAACGTGACAGTAAAAATCGTCAGACCTTAGCCAATATCTGCCAGGTAATTTACAGCTTTCATCGCAGCTGTCTAATGCAGCTTCAGACAGAGCTCATAGTGCAATATGTCAGTGGAGGCTAAGAGTGCCCCTATACAGATAAACCAGTCAGTGTTGTAGTTCTGTAAGGGTCTAATGTTGAGCTTTTTGTGATCATTTCCTTGACTGTGATATTAAAAAAAGAAGAGCATTACAACTAAATAGAAAACTGTGACTGCAATTTAAATTATATAATGACCTCACAAAACAGTCAAAGCTTTTTATAGCTGTAATAGGATACATTTTAGTATGGTTATGTATTGTAATTGTCTGATCCTATTTAGAAGGAAAATAGAAAGAAAGAAAGAAAAGAAAATAGTTATATAAATGCTTTTCATGGTTATTGTATTTGATGTATTTTTTATTTGTGTTTGCGCCTGAACGCTCTGCACACCGATTGGTTTGCCCTTAGAGAAGCCAACTTGGACTCTTGTCCCGGGGGCATTTTAGATTAGGTTATGACTGGCTACTTTCAGTCACAAGAACACTGTATTCATTTCATCCATCCTTAACACCATATATTCTATGCACAGATAGACCTGCTCTGAATTGTAGTCTTCTGAACACAAAATACCCCATGTTTGTTCTGATGCTTGCATCCAATTTCTTAAAAATGGAACCTTTTCTCTCCTCTTGTGTCTTCTTGCCCTCTTATATGTTTTTTTCCCCTTTTCAATAAAAAAGAAATGTCTTGGCTGAGGGCTCGGTGCTTTCACCCAGACATCAGACCACTCTTTTGTAATGGTATGATGGCCAGAGATTTGATTTGCCTGGTCAGGATGGGCCAACTGTATGCAGGGAAGATTTATAAAGGACAGATATTGATTCACAGACACTGATCTACAAACATGAAAGCAGGTGAAGTAAGCTAAGGATATTTATCCATTAACCATTTCCACCTGCGGCAATCATCGATGTTAAAGTCTTAGGGCTTCACTGGCAGAACGTTTTCAATCAATAGTCAAAGACAGAAAGGGTTTGCAACCCAAGACCGGGGAAATCTCATCAGTTGGATTTTACATGGAACCTTTTGAGTCATTTATGATATAAGACTGATTTTATTTAATTTAATAAACCCTTCTGTACTGCTAGAAGGTACAGTTAGGTCCATAAGCATGGCAAACGTTGTGTAATTATGCCTCTGTACAACACAACAGTGGATTTTAATTCAGACAATCAAGATGTGATCGAAGTGCAGTCTTTCAGCTTCAGATCAAAGTTGTTGTTTTTTTTAAAAAGCATTGCATTAATAATTTATGTTTGTGGGTATCTACCTTCAGTTTTCTCTTCAATATCTGAAAAGTATGTTCTTTTGGGTTGCGATCAGATGACCAGTTTAGCTATAGATGGTCACCTGATCATCTATCCCATTCCTTTTCTTTGCCTTGAGCAAGTCTGGGTGTGGTTTGCTTCCACAGTATGCTTTGGTTCATTATTCATTTTCACAGCATTTGTCTGAATCAGACCAGAGACGGCAGCTCTGTACATCATCAAAAAACACTAGTTCATTGTTTCCACTGGCAGCATTGGCGTTTGTTAATACATTATGTTTGCTAAACTCTGAAAGGCTGCCCTACAATCACATCTTAAATGCTTAGTTTAAAATCCACTGCACAGTTGTCCAAATCTTGTCAGTGTATGGACCTCGTCATCTTTCTCAGTGGAAGTCAAGTTAAACATATTTTCGGTGTGTGATATTTAGAGGTCTAGCCCTGAAGTTGTACAAACACACTCTCTTGTACATAGCAACACATCTCAAGGACATTTTTACTATGAAAACAGTGAATGTGACTGTGAGGCTGTGAAATGATTGCTATAAAAACTCTTCACAAACTACACCTATAAATACTCAAGTAGTCTCACAATTCTTTCAGATAATGACATATGTTAGGCATTTACTTGTATCTACAAGTCAATTATATTTATGTTTTTTTCCATGCTTGGAGATTTCTATGGATTCCTGGACTTTTAACAGGCTTAACATTTGTTGCTCTATTCTTCCGTTCTTCTTAAGCAATGCAACCCTGTGCTCTGTTTCTCTTTAGTATGATATCCATACTAAGTGGCAGAGACCACTTTACTCCCAATCCCAACTAACTACCCCAAGATATAAAGGCTGTGAAGGTTGTAAACCACAGATGTAAATTGTGCAGTTGTGGTTTGACAGAGTGATTTGTTAGGATTTGCCACTATCACCCCATGTCACAGCATGCCAATTGTGTAGAAAATCAGCGCTTACTCCCTGGAATGTCATATCCTAACCGTCATACCTTGATTGCTTTTTCTGTCTGCGTGGCAGGAACAGTGTGTGGGTGTCAGTGTTGCAACTCAAGTGATTTCATGCTTAGGGACTGCATTCAGTGAGTGATGGCTGATATGATCCTTGATATTTTCCCGGGAAGTACTCCAAGAATGAAGCTAGGGCTACATACAAAGCCGATTAAGTTTTTTAGCTATTCTAAACATGCAACTCTGAGTCAGTATCAATGGAGCTAAATAAGACTTAAGGTTCGTTCACATTCAGTATAATCACGCCACCACCTGCACACACTGGCCATGTTACCTGCCCAGACATACATTCAGCTCCTACTTGTGTGATTTTGCTTTCTTTTCAAATCTTATTGGTTCGGGAGGTGTGATCCATATGCATACAGGTGGGACAGTCTGCGTTTTCTTAACAGATTTAGACATGCATCAGTTTACTTTGTGCGGTTGTGGGATGCAGTGTTTTATTGTTAAAATTTGATAAAAAATGATGGAGCGTGAAGCTTGAACTTTTCTTGTTGGACTTACGCTATTATAGTTGTACCTAAGCTGAATGCTAACATTTTCATGCTGTCATGAAAGTGTTCACAAGATATTAGTTAGCTTTTGTTGGCTAAATATAAAATACAGCTGAAACTAATAGCTAGGGCAGGGCAATATGGCCAAAAATATTTATCATGAAATGCAAAAACGATATTACTGACAATATAATTAATGTGAGACAAAATACTAAATAACTCATTAACTTTATTAGTGCAAAAAAAACCCATCAATGTATTTTCACTTAAACAAGCAGCTGTTTTTTATGTGCATTAAAGTTATATAAAAATTTAACAGTGCAAATGCAAATTCCTTGCTGACAGTTTAACAAAAAGGCATTTCCAGTGGAAATTGGCCGACATATCAAATCAAATCACTTTTATTGTCACATCACATGTGCAGGTACATTGGTACAGCACATGTGAGTGAAATTCTTGTGTGCGAGCTTCACAAGCAACAGAGTTGTGCAAAATACAATAATGTAAACAAGCAAAATACAAGAATGGCTACATCTGAAACTAATAAATATATGTACAATATATATATATATATATATATATATATCCTGAGCGTAACCATGCATAATACCCACAAAACTTGAAAATTGGTTATATACACACAATGCGGTAATATTATGTTAAAGCACAGTACGTATCACTCTGCGAGGCTCCTGACTACGGTAGCCGTAATTCTCCGACAATCCATCAAGCGGTGCGGCTTCGTAGCTTAGCAAAGTCGTACTAAAACATTTTTTGAAAGATTTTTGAGCGCCGCGTACCACATAAAATTGGTTCGGTAATAACGACGGCCCGCTTGCATGCTCTACCAAAAAATGTGCTTTGGTGTGCATCTGCCGGACGAAAGTCAAACCAGTTCCACACCACTGAAGTTACATCATGTTTACAAACCAATTGTAAACATGGTTCAAGTCAAGTCAAGTCAAGTATTTATTTATTGTCATTGTCAAAGAACAATGAAATTGCGTTTGGGGCTTCCGTACAACCCGTAAAAAAAACCAAAAAACGATACGCTTTCGCCCTTCTCATTCTCTGTCGCTGCCGTGCTTTTTCCGCCATGTGTATATGAACACAAAGGCACTGCGCGTGTGTTTTACCCATATTCTATCGCGATATCTCATTTTCTCATTTTTTCTCATTTTCATTGCCTAACATTATACCGGTATTACCGTGAAC